AAAAAATTGAAACAAAGTTTTTGTAAATAGGGAAGAGTGGAGAGGGTGAAGGGAGGGCTACAAATGGGGAAAAAATAAGAACTAAGATGTATCATGTAAAGTTACAAGTTCCCAATGAGAAATGTAAATGTGTGGTATACCTAAAATGTACCAATAAAAGAATTTAAGTGATATATAAAAGAAAGAAAGATTTATGGATATCTACCATGTCTGCTCTTTCTCTCATTCTCCTCTGAGGCCTTTCTATTTAGTAGGCCATATAACACAGAACTGCTCTTCCACCTTCCTACTGTGCTTAATTTATCTCTGCAAAAATTGTCACCATCTAACTTCTATACCTATTTTTGCCGCCCACACTAGAATACTAATAGAGAATTCTTAGTGCTTTTGATTAGGAAAGAAATAAATATTGAAAGCATATGGAGGTGCTCATTAGCAATAGTTAGAGCAATAGTTATTTTACTGGCCCAAGGTAGGTACTCAATATTTTAAATGAATTAATAAACAAAAATAAAGATCCTTTAAAGAGTGCTCATTTATTTTCTATATATTTACTCCTAAAATAAACCAACTAAGAAAGTGGTGCTACTAACAGATTCAGAAATGAAAGGTTTGTCACTATGTCACATCCCTATGAATCCTTAAAGCACATATACCTTAAAACAATACCACTTCACCTATTCTTAAGGCATCACTAAGATCAACAGAAAGAAGCAAATTTTTGCCTCTTTGGAACTAAAGTTTAAGAGAACATACTAGAGACAGAATGCATGTGTGGAAAGCCATGCATTGTCACTGTCTAACTCTGAGACTTCATTTATTTAATCTTTCTATACATTGTGTTTCTCCCTTATAACAGAGGTGATAGGTTGTCAGTTATTTTATCCATTTTCCAATTCTCTGGGCATTAAAAAAATATTTTCCTCTCCTTCCTGATTTTCCAACAATCTGTTTCCCAACAATGTCCTCAGCCAAATACTTCACTTCATACATTATAGAAACTACAGAGACTAACTATGGAAACCACTGCACTGCCCACCACCTCATTCACAATTTACAGAAGTAGTCTTTCACTTGTTTCCCATACATGAGCTCCTAAGAACAGCATATACATTTGCACTTCTGACCTCATTTCCTCTTGTCTTCCAAAGGACTTCACTCCTACTCTTTAGGTCTACTCTGCATCATCCACTTAGGATTCTTTAATTATTTGTATCAGCATACTAGTGTTTTTTATATCTCTGATCTTGGCAGTTTTCTTTTCTTTTTTTTTTTCTTTATACCAGGGAATGAACTTGGGACCTTGCGCTTGCAATGCAGGAGGCAGAACCACTGAGCTAAATCCCCGACTATACCTCTGATCTTAAACAACATACCAACACAGTAATAGTACCTATTAACAGTGGAAAACCTTCCATCATATAACTATATCATAATTCATTTTATCACTCTCATATTAATGGACATTTTATAACATTTCCAGTTTTGGTTCCTTTGAATTTTTAAATTAATCTCCCATAAACGTTTTATGTATATGCTTTGGTAAATATATATAAAAGTATTTTTCTAAGTTAAATACTGACTAATGATATTACTGGAGCCTAGGTTGTGCACATATTCAATTTTATAAGATAATAGAAAATTATTTTCAGAATTATACCAATTTACATCCCATAAACAGTGTAAATTGCTCTCTATTGTCACCAAAGCGTTATTTTTAGGTTGTTTGATGTTTGCCAATCTGCTAAGTATCAAATGATTACTTATTATTTTAATTGGCATTATAATTATTAAGGAGATTGAGTATCTTTTAATAAGTTAATAAAAGACTTATGTTTTTCTCTCTGAAATATGCCTGTTTATGTCTTGGTCCTGTTCTCTGTGGAACTGTCTTTTTCTTACTAATCATTTTAAGAGTTCTCTACATATTCTAGATGCTCATCTACTCATTTGTTCAATATGTGTGTTATGAATGTATACTCCCAGTTTGAAGTTTGTCTTTGATGAAAAAAGTTTAATTAATAGTACCCAAGTTGATCCTGTTCTCCTTTACAGAATGTGTATTTACACCATTGCTTACAGACTTGCTAATGTGGCTGGCTGGTAAAGAGCATAATTTCTATGGTTAGACTGCTGAGTTTGGGTCCTGGCTCCATCTCTCACTAACAATACAATCATAGGTACTTAGCTTTATGTACATCAACTGCTTCATCTGCACAGCAGGGGTCACCTTATGAAGATTAAATGTTCTAATATGTTTAACTTACTAAAACTGCAGTTAACATTTTAAATATTTAATTCTGATTGGCTGTTTTTATTTAAGAAATTCCCACTACTTGTTTATAATATATTTTCTTATATTTTCTTCTAAAAGATTTAAAATTTAAATTGCATATTTAAATCTATAATCCAACTATTTTTTTATATTTCTATAGTGTGAATATGAGCCCACAAAAATATGTAAAGTGCTTCACAAATATTTGTCAGGTAAAAGGGCTGAAGACCAAGACCAGACCAGGCCACAACAACCCTTTATTAGGGGAATAGATCTGCCAGGCTGTCTCTGAACAAAGGAGAGACAAAAGCAATATGTCCAGGGCAGGGAGAGTCTTTTATAGAGAGGGGTGGGGTTTGTAGGGGCTGAGGTGGGGTTGAGTGAGGTAGTGACTAGGGAATGGAGGACCCAGTGATGTCACTAGATGGTAGAAGGTGAGCGAGTATTAGGTTACTTTCTAGGTGGGAACAGGGGCATACTGGGAAGAAGGGTTTATTCTTTGGTGGGAGCAACCATCTTGGCAAGATATCACACAGGGGAGGGGGCAAGGCACAATAGGAAGAGGGCAGCTACTATACATAATAGCTGCTGAGGTAGTGGGAAACCTATCAATATTATGCCATTTTTGCTTAGGTACAAGAGGTCATGTTTGTGTTGTACTAATACATATGTTGCAGGAGCACCTGCTTCTGCAATATTTGATACATTGACTTCTTGTTTATTAACTTATCTAGGCATGCACAGTTCATCTCTGCCCTCCCATTGACTGTTTCTCCTTAGTTTCTTTACAGATGCTAGCTCCTGATTCAACCTCATTCCAGTTGAATTCTAGTCCTCTCTTTTCTGGATACTCTGTAAACTAGAGTCAGATTATTTAGGCTCACATTATAACTTTTTCATTTCATACTAAGAATGTAACTGAGGTAGTTAATGTCTGTGTGCTTCGGTTCACCATCAGTATATTGATACAATAGCATTTCCTATCTTGTAGGTTTCTTATGAGCATTAAATAAATTAATGCATATAAATCACTAAGAACAATATCTGGTCTTCAGTAGGTACTGAAAAATGCTATTATTTTCTAAAATATTTCAACTTCAAAAAACTAAACTGACTGCTGAAGATCCTTTGATCTTTACATTTAGTCAGCTCAGAAATTGCCCTAAGATTTACACTGCTAGCTGCTTTCTTGGCTCTTCATGTTTAGGTGTATGACAAGCATCTTAACTGTAGCCTGACCAAAGCCGAACTCTTGACCAAATCCAAGTTTTTCTTCTCAGCAAGAATGAAACCACCATGCATTCCATTTATTCAAGCTAAAACTTCAGTCAGCCTGGATTTCTTTGATATTTTCCTTATATCCAAACTGATTAATTATACTTTCAAAAGATCTCTCAGATGAGTATTTCTCCCTAAATCCACTCCTGAAAATGGTCAAATGTGAACCACAACTGATGCTCAGCTCTTCTCCCTGATCCGTGAGTCTGAGGCAGTCCGTGACCCCTACCCCGGTTTGCCAAAGACATTCTGCAGCTCTGCACAGCAACAAATTCAAACTCCTTTCAGTGGACTGCAAAGGCCCTAGCACATCTAAATTTTTTAAATTTATTTTTCTAAGTTCCTCCTTTTGTACTCACTGGTTATCAAAAAGCCCAAGCCTGGATCTTAAACTTTCTGGATCTTAAATTCATGAACTCATCCTTGCCTCTGGAAATTCGCATTGATAACTTGGAATGGCTTAACATCAGGTCTGTGCAGGGCTTCTTTTTTCTCATCAGGTCCCAACTCAAAAGGATACTTCCTCCAAGATGCCTTCCTTGACAGCCCTAGTTAAAACTCCCCCACCTCCAACTATTTTTTTTTTTTACTTATTTGTATCTAAAACTTTTGTATTTACTCCTGCATTTTCTGTGTCTCTCAACTAGAAGTAAGTTGAGGGTAGCAATTTAGTGTTATTGTGATAATCCCTAGAACAGTGCCTGATATACACATAATCAGTTCCCAATACTAATAATTGAATGACTGTTGGATCTTGTCCTTAAGACTTTATAGGCAGTTTTTCCTTGAGTAGGAGACATACAATATCCTTGTATAATATATACACCATTGAGGTGAAGGATATATACTTTCTATTTTATAGATAAAACTAGACACAAAGCTAGTAAGTGCTAGAAGTCGAATTCAGAACTACATCTTGTTTATCATTCAATCTCCTATTGTGTAATATATCAATAAATGTTGAATAAATATTTGTGTATTTACATAGATAAATACATAAAAATTTGAGAGAATGTAAAGAAAAAGAAAAAGGACAAAGAGACATTTTTAGAGTCCTCCACACTATCACATGAACTTCAGAAGGTCAGAATTAAGCATCAGAATTCACACCCCAATGGAATCTATAAGAAAATTTGTTGCAACTTCCTGAGAAGTGCCTCTGTATACAATTGTTGTGAAAAATGCTATAAAAATGTAAAGTTGTTCTTCACACCTTTGCTTAGTGTTTTTTGTCTCCGTTTGTCAAGTTGCAGCCTACACAAGACCACAGAGCTTTATGTAATTTAAACTTACAGAAATATAAATCTGATTTATCAGGAAAAAATGAGGGATTTTTCCAAAAGAAACCCCAAAATTTGGAGGCCTATCAATGGTGTCCCACAAATTTACATGTCAGAAATCCACATGGTATTCTTCCTCTATAACTATAGGTCACTTGCCTTTCCAGGATTTCTATCAGGATCACAAGAAACCAGATAGGAGCAAGACCAGGAAATGAGGGCCCATACTGCCCATGAGGGACATTGCTGCCCTGAAGGACAGAGATTCAGGAAGACTGTAAGAGGATCAGCTTTAATTTCAACTTCTTTAGTAAGGTTTTTGTAAAGTTTTGTAATAATTAAAATGTTTTTAAATTATAAACATGAAATAATTTTCTAAACCCCCAAATCTGCTAAGCCTAGCAGACTGTTACACTTAGAAAACAGAAGTGGGTCTATTGATTGTCTTACTGCCATAGGTGTCCTTGGTTCTCAAGCTATTGGATTACTCAAACTATCAGAGCTGTGTGGCTGTCCATGGAGCCAGGACTAATGAGAGACAAAGTTGAGTAAGGAAAACAAGAAGAGGCAAAATGGAATAGAGAAAGAGTATGTGGAAGTGGGTGGCAGAGGGATCTCTAACCAAACTCTGCCCTTCATAGCATCACAGCTCCTCCCCCAACCACTCAGATCTTTTTACCATTTCTATTCATCCTTCTCTAGCTTTCACGTTGCTTTTGCCTCCAACTTTTCCATGCATGTGACTCTCCTTCCTCAGGCTGCCCTCAAGTTGCTGGAGCCTCTTGTCTCCAAACATAGAGCCTCCAAAGTGCCTAGGAGTTTACATTGCCCCTCCCCAAAGCCTGGAACAGCCAGTCCAATGGTGGAAGCCAAGCCTCCTGGCCTCAAGCTGGAGTAAACCCAGAGGGGAGCCTTGAACTTCAGAATTCTCCTGGGGATCCAAGTGTAGTTACTTTCTATGTGTCTTTGCTCCAACTTACACCCTTGCTTGCCTTCTTTCTCTACTTTTGCATTCCAACTCCTTTACCAGTTTCTCCTGGAAGTACTTTCTTAACAAATTACTTGTATTGGATTCTTTGAATTAGGGCTACTTCTGGGGAACCCAACATAATAAAATATAGTACTTCAAAGGTTTAGGTTGAGGACTAAATAAAATATTATTGTACCTAGGAATGGCATGCCATACATAATAGACCCTTGATGAATGACAACTACTTTTTTATTCTTGAAGAAAGGAGTAGAAATTTGTTTAATCAAATTTACAGCCTCTTGTAAATCCAACTTGGGCCCTCATGGTGTGATATACCTGAAAAATGCAGTTCTCATCCAACAAAACTAAGAGTCCCGGTTCTTTATAAGCAGGTCCCTAGCTATATGTAACACTGTCCCCTCCCCACAAACACATGGAAAGGGGGCAATAAAATTTTTTTTACTTAAATTTTTTTTTTATTAGTACATATTTGCTGTACAAAATGTTTACATTTCTTGTGTAGAGTTGGTACACTCACATAACTCATCTAATTTCCTTTTTTCAGCCCTTCCTTCTTTCTGGAGAGATATAGATTTTAAGGAAAAAATACCACTGGTTTTAGAGCCATACTTATCAGAGTTTTGTATTTATACTTGCTGTTCACTCGCTTAGCTATTTTATTACAAGTAAACTGATTAACCTCTCAAAGTCTTGGGTCTCTCATCTGTAGAATGGAGAGAGAAAAAAATCCCACTGATATTGACAGATTGGGAAGATTACATACTGTTTGTCCACTTAGAGAAAACTAAGTGTCATAGATAAGAGTGAAGACATTAGCATCAGACTCTCTAGACTCCAAGATGCGCCCCTTGGTAACTGTATTAGTTAGAGTTTTCCAGAGAAATAGAAGCGAGGGGAGATGGATGGATGGATAGATAGATAGATAGATAGATAGACAGACAGATAGATAGATAGATAGATAGATAGATAGATAGATAGATAATAGATAATATATAGGGATAGAGAATAAAGGAATCAGCTCACACAATTATGAAGGATGAGAGGGCTAGATTCAGGAAAGCCAGTGGCATAAATTACAGTACAAATCTGAGTCAAAAAATCAGGAGAGCCAATGGTATAAGTTTCAGTCTGAAGGCAGGAGAAGATAGATGCCCCAGGTCATTCGGTTGGAGAGGTCAGATTCTCCTTTACACAGCCTTTTATTTTATTCAGGCCTTCAGAATCTGATGCAACCCACCCATATTAAGGAGGGCCAACTGCTTCACTAAGTCTACCTTTATTTCATTCCACTTATTAATCTCATCTAGAAACATTCTCATAGACATAACCAGAAATAATATTTAATCAAATATCTTGACAGCCCCTGGCCTAGGCAAATTAACATATAACAAACTACAAAACTGAGGAAGTTAATCAGTCTCTTTGGTTCTAGTAGAAGACTAAACACATTCAAATACATAAAGTGTCTTATTATAAGAGTCTTTAGCACATAATAACCACTCAGCATATGTTAGTAAAATTACATATGGGAAATACAGAAAAGAAACTAGAAATACAGAAAATGTTATGTTGCTTCCCCTCAGAAGTAAAGAATGAACATAGTGACTAAAAATTTGAAAATTACTCTTGCAGACACAAGAAAATATGACCAGAATTTTTGTTTTCTTTGAGTTCAGAGTAAGAACAGAGGGTTTAGTCTTAGAGCAGTACGTTTAGAGATGTAGAATTTCAGGTAGAAAGCATTACTACATGTTGAAATGGAATATTGATCAGGCTATGGAATCCTATTTCTGGAGGTCTTTAATATACAACACAGCTGGAATCTCTTTATATTAAAGTAGGAAAGAAAAGCAGGTTACAATTCCCTTCATGTTTTCTTCTGCTAATTTCACCAATTTATCTTGCTGAGAATCTGAAGAAAAAATATTAGAATTCTATTTTCCTGTCCATCTTCTTCCCTCTGTGAGATTAATATATTTGGAAACAGGTAGTGTACTTTTTTAATCAAGGGGTTGCCCTGCCTGCCACCTATGAATAGAACAAACAACACTTTAGGTTGTTGCTCGAGTGCTCGTGATCACAAACACCTCCTACACCACCTGCGTCCTCTGTAACAAACTGGTTTATCAGGAGTTTTATAATAGTTTTGTGTCATTGTCGACCACTGTGGGGATGTTTATCCAGAGATGTCTGAAAATACTGTTATCTAAAGCTTACTTTTTTGTGATGTAATACATTGATAAAATTTAAAAACTTGTAAGGCATAAAATGATAGTATTACAAAGATAGTAAGGCTTTCAATTTGAATGGCTTCTACTAGCACTGTGGGACAATTTGAACACCAAAACAGATAATTACAGAAGCAAATTATAGCCCATAAAATAAAATAGGAAAACATGAGTCTATAAGTGGTTTAAAATCTTAATCTGTAAGTATTAGTAGCACCTGTTTATATATGAAAAAATGGAGCTCAGAAAATTGAAGTGACTTATCCAAGTTCACAAACCTACCAAATGATGATCTTTTTTCTTCTATTGTTTAAACCATTGCAAGTTATAGGAAAATTATAGCAGCAGTATAAAACCTATTTTCTTCCTGAATTATTTGAAAGTATGTTGCTGATTCAATGTCATATCATACCCACATCATACCCACATACTTTAAAACAAGGACATTTTCTCTTATGTAACTACAATAAAATCAGTAAAGTCAGTGGCAACCAGTATAAAAAAGCATCTTGCATACAACAACACTTGGTTAATATTTCTAAATTTCAACAGAACAAATGACAGTAAAATGTAAACATATCTATTGTCAAGCTTAGCCATAATGCTTTATTATACTAGGAGCAAAGTTAAATAATATCTCACACTATTACATAAAGAATAAGGGGGAAGGAATAGGGAAGGATAATGGGGAAGATTAAAATAATCAAAGTATGATATATGCAGGTACAAATATGAAACCCATTGTGAAACCCAAAATGAAACCCATTACTCTGTGTAACTAATATGCAGCAGTGAAATAAAAAAAATTTTTAAAGAATATCTCTCAAAGACTTTCCCATTAATTTAGGAACATATACAAATGAAGATCTTTTTTGTTGTTGTTTGTGGGGGAGTGTTTGTTCATTTGAGACAGGGTCTCCCTATGTAGCCCGGGCTGGCTTCAAACTCACAGCAATCCTCCTGTCTCAGCCTCCCATGTGCTGGGGTTACAGGTGTGTATCACCATGCCCAGATAAGATCCGTGTAGTAAATTTTCATGTATTTCCTCTATGAAACCTCAAAATTAATTTCTAATTTTAGAAATATAAGGTATAGAAGTAATATTTGTGACAATAATGGCATTTATTTTATGGACAATTGTACACTTATATGCACATGTAATATATAGTCTAAATGTAAAAAATTACAAAGTGGAACTATGTTTTTGTCTAAAGTACATAAGTAAAGGGTAAGATCTTAACTTTTTTGAATATTCAGCAGGCCCTTCCAAACTTGTAGATTGATTGTTTATTTTTCTCAGGTAAACAATATGAATATTTTATGTTGAGTTTTTGTATAAATACAGGAAAACCATTCTGTCATAATTGGTGAAGATTTCAATCTATAGAAAAGTTAATAGAATATCAAAAGTTTCCACCCAACCATACAACTGTCAGCTAAACTTCTATAATGTTTCAGGGACACAGAAATAGTACTGTTATTCCATGAAGATAAAAATTTCAACTGGGCATGTGCAAAAGCAATTTTCAGATATTTATAGCCTCATTATACGTTAATATTTATTCATATTCAATGAATTTTCTGTATCCAAGTGTCAGCTTCATTCATGTCAATAGTACTAGATGTTATTTCATTTCAAACACTAAATAGAGTTCCTGACTGATATTCCAGAAAATCCCTACAGTGTTTCTCTGAATATGTGGTCCTTTTTTTATTTGTTTAGGGTAACTTTCTGAAAGCTGAGACTAGTATCCATTCTTCAATATCATACATATTGAAAGTCTACAAAGTTCAGAGCACATGTGCACAATCCACACAGAGGGAGACAGGAGGTAAATGATAAGAAAGAGAATTGCAGTGCCCAGTGAATAGCAAGCATGGCAAATTATAAACAACTTAGCATTGGAACCAGAGATACAATGCTAGAATCATAACTTCTCAATAGATCCTCATTATCTACCATATGGATTGTTATTCAGGATGACCAAAAATACAGTGAATGTTTAAAAAATTTTAACTGTTATTACAGTAAAAACACCTTGCCATTAATCTCCCTCAAAGAACTCTTTCTTCACTCACACTTATGCTCCT